CTTTGAGAGAGTACAGGCTGTTGTAAAACTTTGTGGAGGTCTACTTCATCTCCTCGCAATTAGTAATTCTTGTTCCTCCTTCATCTTCGCCAGCGCAATCGGAATCCGCTGTTTACATGAATATCCTCTTCGAAAGCTTTCAGCGTTTCCTTCATCCCCATAATCTTTCTTATTTGCATTCTCCTGTAACCCTCGTAGTGTTCCGTCAACTTCTTCCGTAACTCTTTGTATAATGCGCTGTACACTTTGGCCTTTTTTTGGCCTTAACTTGGGTTCTACTAACCCACAACTGCCTTGTTGAAGGGTTGGTTTCTCGTTGACATTGCGATCCGGCTTGACATTCCAACGGTAGTCTTGACTGTACTGATGAAATTGCTATAATCTGCATTTATGCCACGCCGACTACCATTTCAAAGTTAGTTAGCGGCAGGTTCGACATGATCCGGAGTATAAAAATCCGCGAGATCCTTGGTGTACAGCCACTGCTTCTTCAGACAGAGAAGTCACAGCTGCGATGCTTTGGGCATGTGTTGCGAATTCTTTCAGAAAGGGAGGCTGAGCGAGTACTTCTTGCCCATCCGACTGACAGAAGACCCCGAGATGGCCAGGATTAATCAGGGCGGAGTGAACCGAAGGTTTCTGCTCTAGCCTCCGGTTACCTTCTGTCGAACGTCAAATGTTGATAAGGGAAAAGGAACACTGGAAGTACTGTCTGACGCATCTACCTCCGCGACCCGAATAGTGAAACGGTCATGGAAGATGAAGAAGAAAATGAACAGCAGGTTTTTCGCGAAAACGGTGATATTTGGGTTGTTTTGATCCGCTACATTTTCGCGACATCGATCTTAACTATGGAATGTAGAAGCCTGTTGTATGAAGCTAGGGTATGTTTTCGCCCATAACTGACACGTCTGATATAATTTATTTCTTGTCCGTCAGTACGTAGTTGCTTTGGTTCAAGGACTTTTGTTTAGAGCATCGTTGTATCGACTTTCCTTTCGAACTTTCTGGAAAATGGTGTTCATGACGAGGAGATGATTGCATATCTGTGAAAATTGCAAAACGATATTCATATTCATTTCTTTAGCCTATTCCATATTTGCCGATAAACGCCTCTGTGCAGTTCGTTCTTTGCCTGACCACTGCATTGAGGTCTCCTTTGATAATCGTGAATGCAGACTTCTTCTCCGTTTCAACTGTTCGTAGAATTCCTCGATTTCTGCATCAGGTGGTTGGGTTAAGCTGTATGAGGTGTTAGGCATTTTTTATTGTTCTAACTTTGTCTGTTGAAGTAGAATTGCCATACTATGTGATACAATATTCCAGCTCACAAAAATTGCACCAGTCCTAGTTTTAATTATGAAGCTAACGACACAGATTCGAGCTTGATCCTCTAACGCCTTTCCAAGGAATTCCTGGTCATCGTAGTCCCAATGAGCTACAAGTTCGATCCTCGGGGACGTCGACTTGGATGTTATCCTCTTTCGTGACACAGACGTATGTAAATATGTCTACCGATAGCGTTCCTGCATGCTGGTTGGCCACGAAGGTCTTGATGACGTTCCGGATGTGTTTCCTAATCGTTTCCTTGCCATAGTAGTAGGTGTCGCTCAGGCTGACGCGGTAGCTTGCATTCAACTTCCTGGCTTTTTGTTTCCTGAGAATGTTTAGACTGGGCAAGCAATTATGTGGCAATTCATTCCAAGTGCCAGCTCTCATCAGCCGTCGCCAACGTTTCCCGAACGGCATCCAACCTACGGATTCAGAGAAGAGCCTGAAGGTCTTTGTGAGGTTTTGGTCGTGGGAAGATATCTTTGGTGAGTGACGGACAGGAATACCGCCGCAATCTTGTGAGGCGGGCTCTCGCGCCACTTCCATGACCGCACGAAGCAGGAGTCTAGTTAACTTACCTATTATATGATTGGTAGTTCTGGTTTAATCTTTGGTGTGAGAAACGGACATCTAGCTGCGAAGTGGTTCAATGACCATTCTCCAAGTGAACAGTTATTGTTGATTGGCTACTGAGAACTTATGGTAAGGCCGTCTACAGATGATATAGAGAACTGCATATTTTATCTTATGGAAACTAAAATACCGAATTCTTTATCGAACTTCATTCTTCACATGTTCGACGGTAAATCACAAAGCTTTAAGAAGTAGGTAAATTACAGTCAACCCAAGATAGTTCCGTGTCGATGTCCCAAGCAGGTGCCTAATAGTTTTCGACTGAGGTCAGTAAAGTCATTCTACAGTGTTCGCGAACCCAGAATATACACACTGCCAACAACAATATGTGAACATGATGGAACACAATAACAGTTCCTTCAAACCAGATGAGCTGGTTTCCATCTGTCACTGAAGGCTGCTTTACCATTAACCACATGAGTACAGGATACGGCAAATGCGCGTACCGCATGCAAAAATGAAAATTTCGAAACTCACCTCTGTATGAGTGTGCGGCGGAGAGCCAAAACATGACCCATCCTACCGCCAAACTAAATGTCCGCCTTGCAAATGATCTGGTAGTAAAGCTAAAGCACACAAAGCCTCAACAGTTGTACTCAAGTGATTTTCCGATCCAAGCCTAGAACAATGGTCCGCTCCGAAACATCATATAAAATAAAGAACAGGTAAAATGCCGCAATGTGAGCAAATCTTCCATAAGTTTGAGTGGCAAACCGTTTGGAAGCATACAATTGCATGATTGCAAAGTGATTTTACTGGTTTTAAATTAGTCGCTTGGAACTCTTAGTATCAGCTTAAATTAGGCTTACTACCGTAATTTGAAGTAAATAAATCTCTTTACCTTATTATTAGATCTGGAATTGAAGATCGTAATCCGTTCAGAGGACGACTGCTTTTGCTGTTGCAAGAACTGTGTGAAGAGATTTGCGACGTCCAGCTTGTGGGTCTGTGGTGCCGCGGTTCGTATTTTTCTGAAATCACTACTGTAAACGAACACCCGAACATAGAATGTAACGCGATTCAGCATCATACCATTGAAAAGGTTGGAAACGGTTAGCTTTTTCAGTTTTGTGATCCAGTCGTTTTTCGTTCGTGGATCAAATGGAAGAAAGGTATACATCTCCTGATGACCTTCGATGTGCAATTCGAACTTATTCGCGTTCCCTTTCACATGTTCCAAAAGTTTCACAGCATCAACCTAATGAAACATTTCCAAGTGTAAACTGTGCGGTAAGACAAGCAGTACCGGAATTTCTTCTTTAAATTCATAGTAGTCACGTGTGAACGGCATCGACTGTCGTCGGAGCTTGCACAGCAACATATTATGCGGGTACAGAAATACATGCCGCTGATGAACTTTCGTCGTGCGACGAATTCTGAGCGCTTTGTCGGCAGACTTTTTCGTGCCGATCCAAACGCTGAACCTACCCTGCATCAGCAGTTGACCCAAAGTGGAAAAGTCACCCTATGTACAAACCATGAGCGTGTGCCTGTAACCCTATAGCTATGTGCCGTCACTCTTACGGGGTAGCCAGATATGTGACATTGATGAAGACTGGCGTTCAACTGCTGCAGCAATTCAAGCATTGACTTGAGTGCCGATCGAATCTCTATTTTCTGTTCCAGTGACTCTGTGTTTTCTGCCAGTTCCTGCAGTAACTGTTACAAAGCAATTCAGGGTGGCATCAACGTACTCACTCTAAGCAGCAGATGATACTTTGTTATTCTTTGCACCGGCTTCAGGAGATACGCTTCTAGAGGCAACCTGTGTCCAGCCTTTTCCTGGCATTCCTAAATCATTTAATACAGAAGGACACCGGAGCAAAAATGACTTTACGTTGAAAAAACTGTCACAGCCGCTATATCTCTCTCTCAGCGAGGCGCTTTGTGGCTTATTTTGACAGTAGATGTTGTAGAGGTAAAAATGACCACGGTGTCTTAGGAAGGTTCTTGCAATAAGATATGGATTTCCCGCGCACTGTCGCAACTCCGGCAGAAAAATGTGCTCGTGAAAATGCAAAATGTCCGTCAGGTTGCCAAAAATCACTTCCTGCTGTCCAATGAGCTTCTCCGGTATTGCATTATGCAAGCAGTCGATCTCGTCGAAAACGTTGACATAATGTGCAGCGACGGAACTCAGTTCTTCAACATAAGCCTCTTCGGTGGACAGCAATTCATTTATGACGTAAGCTGCCTTTTTGTTTTCGCTAGCGTTGCTGCATGAAGCCGTGGGGCAGCAAGAGTCTCTCGCGGTGGATGTGAAATCCGAACAGTCCCACTGTGGCCAGCTTACCGTCCGTCCACTTTCGCAGCTGTCTATGTTTCTGTTATCGCAAGATGGATACTGTAAATAAGAACTGTAGTGTCGGTGTACAATCGCATATCAGATAGCTATTTACCGTACTGTAGTGTTTGTCGTCCGCATTCTTCCGGCGGTCTGGTCGAACTGGTGGAACGGGACCCTCCTTTGCGTCAGATCTAACAATCTCTGGGCCCTTGGTCGCCTCGTTCTTTGCCTTTGAACGCCATTGCAGGTAACCAAACCGACTTTCGCATATCATTTTCAGATCAGACACGCGTGCGTTAACCTGAAAATCAGAAATAACGTTTACGTCGTGGAACGGTAGTAGACAAATACGAGTAAATTACTTCGATGAGCAACCTCGATGGATTGCCTTTCAGACGCTGTGGTTGCGGTTGCGGTTGCGTTTAGCTGGGCTCGAATATTCGCACGCATGCCACACAGTGTCACAGACAAATAAGAACCGTTAACTGAATGCTAAGTGAACAGCTAACCAACCCGTCGTGCTGTTACGCGTCCCGCAGATAGTTTACCTAATCGTGACATGATCGTCAATCGGCTCTGACAAATCCGCTTCAGTCGCCGACAGGTGGCAATGTCGAGACGGCAAGTGCCAGCACTGATCGACTAGCGTTATCGCTGCCTATGCCTCAAACTCCGCTGCCGTGCGAGCCTGTTGCGTAAGAAGTCTGTTTATACCTCGGTCGATGGGTAGGCAAAATATCTGAACAAATTTGCATCGTCACTCCAAGGCGCAGCAAAAAAAATTACGCGACGGGTTGGCGGTCGAAGTAGCACTCACAGCGTTTTGCATCGCTGAGAGTTGAAACGAGTTTTTCAAAGATTTTCAGACGAGGAGCGAGTGGCGTTTACATAAACCAGAAAGCAGATGCTGGATTTTGTTCTGTACACTATACCCTGTATTTACATCGACAGCTCAATGATCGATGTTTGCTTTCTGACCACTTGTTGTGTCTGCAAATGTTGAACGGGTGACAAGGGCTACTCTCAGATTCACAACTCCTTCGCCGCCGGCGCATCTCCTGGTCTTTTCGAAATTTATGATCCCGACGACTTACCGTAAGCCTCAAACATAGACGGAAATCAAAGGTGTTCCTTCCTTGTCCACGACTCAGTATTCAGAACAGCAACCACATACCAAGTTAATTTATCATGCAAATGCGCCAGTTTAATGTCTTTCAAAAGTCACGCAGATATACTTATTCTCGGCACAAACTCTGCACAAACAAATTGATCGAGTAATTCAAAATGCGTGATTTCAATAAGCATCTGGTACGGTCTTCATTAAACATGTCAAAACAAACCGGATCGATTCGCTTACATCAAATACAATTCTGCGCAGCGACCATAACTATCGATGAAATCGATGCAAAAAGTCCACAAAAAACACGATCAGATATTTTCTCAGCAATGTCGTTTGAACCGCAAGGATGATTTATAGACTTTCAGTCTCATGTAAAGTTAAAACGTCCATTACTGTATTAATAGCGCAAAAGTCTGAAATTAAAACGAAGCCGACGTTACACTGTATCGTGCATCTGTTCTTTAGGATGACTTTAGTTGGCAGCTCCTTGATAGCAACTTGCATCTATCTGCAGTAGAGTGCGGCGGCGTTAATCTCCTTCTTTCCATATCTTCAAGGTTAGTAACCTACAAGTTTGATTCATCCACCACTAATGCTAAACTCAGCTGTTGCCCGTTTTAAACTCTGATGAGAAGGGAGAGATGGAACGTGGTGAGGCCTCACATAAAACTTAGCCACATGCTTCTCATGGTATTGCCACTATCGAACTTATAACGGCTCTGTCGTCTCCCGTGGTACCAAGGAGCGCAGAGATTATGGAGGAACTGAGGCCGGCTCCAAAAAGTTGACTATCACAGCCTGGTTCTGGCAACTGGGGAATAGCAGCAAGGCTACGCCGGCCGAAAATGACAACAAACTGAGAATATGCCAAACAGCAACAGACCCGCTGTTAATTCAGAAATGAGGAAACAACGTAATGCCATTATGACACGTCAGATAAAGTTCTGCGGGAATGATACAAAAAGTGGGAGGTAACAGTTCGAAATTAGACAATCTATTCACTCATAAGAAAAGAGCAGGAGCTAGTTGATGAGGCGGCAAAGTGCCAACTGGACATTGGTTGGAATGTCGTCAACTAAGCGTCAGGGCTGTGGAAATCTGAACGTCCGCGGGTGGAAACTACTCTATTCAGGTGTCGACTTGACGACATACGGTCAGGCCACTGTCTATGCTTTGCTAGAATCTATCCTATACGACAGAATCTTTGAATGGAAACCTGTCAGCGGATACGTGGCAATCATTCGGCGGAAATTGTAGCATACTAAATCATTGACCTTGTTACAGGTCCCCTTACAGGCAAAATATGAGTCCTTCCTGAAAGACGTAGAAAGCGTTCCTACGAAGTGCTACCTATGGAATCCAGCGTTCTAATTGGCGATTTCAGTGCGCATATGGGACCAGGCACTGAAAAGTGGAAAGGCTTCACCTAAAAGAATGAAGAGACCTGAACAATAACGGTATGTTGCAAATTCGAGCAATCAATGGACCGTTTGTTATTTACGCCCGGATCGTGGATCAGTAAACCTGGGATAGAGACGCTTCTGCACAGAAATCGATCATTGATTTGATGATCGCTTCGTCTGACTTAACACAGTCTGTACTGGACATTGGCATTAAGAAAAAGACAGAGTTGTCTACCGAGCGTCACTCTGACCTCGGCAATTTGGAAACGATAAAGTATAATGTAAAGACTTAGCGGCAGAAGCAACCCGACAATGAAATGGAAAACATTATCTTCGGATGATACGAGGGTAAAACTTGCAAACAACATCGCACAACGGTTTAAACACACCTCAGTAATGACCGATGATGTGAAAACATAGTTAAAGCTCTTTAAAACACGGTCGCAGAATGCTGTGGTTTAACAATTGATTGATCTGCTGCCTGGAAGTCAGAAACGTACTTCCTAATGGATACAATAGGTTCAA